AGAAGCTTTAGAGAATCTCTAGAAGCTTTAGAGAAGCTCTAGAAGCTTTAGAGAAGCTCTAGAAGCTTTAGAGAAGCTTTAGAGAAGCTCTAGAAGCTTTAGAGAAGCTTTAGAGAATCTCTAGAAGCTTTAGAGAAGCTCTAGAAGCTTTGGGAAGCTCTAGGAAGCTTTAGAGAAGCTTTAGAGAGCTCTGGAGGCTTTAGGGAAGCTTTGGAGGATCTCTAGGAAGCTTTGGAGAAGCTCTGAGAAGCTTTGGGAAGCTTGGAGGGCTCTAGAAGCTTTTGGAGGGCTTAGGGATCTCTGAGGCTTTAGGAGGCTCTAGAAGCTTTGGAGGCTCTAGGAAGCTTTAGGAGGCTCTGAGAAGCTTTAGGGGCTCTGGGCTTTGGAAGCTCGGCCTTAGAGGCTTTTGGAGGCTTTGGAGCTTTGGAGAAGCTTTAGAGAATCTCTAGAGGCTTTGGGAGAGCTCTAGAGCTTTAGAGAAGCTCTAGAAGCTTTGGAGAAGCTCTAGAAGCTTTGGAGAAGCTCTAGAAGCTTTAGAGAAGCTCTAGAAGCTTTAGAGAAGCTCTAGAAGCTTTAGAGAAGCTCTAGAAGCTTTAGAGAAGCTCTAGAGCTTTAGGAGCTCCAGAGCTTTAGAGAGCTCCAGAGCCCAGAAGCTTTGAGGAGCTCTAGAAGCTTTGGAGGCTTTGAGAAGCTTTAGAGGCTCTAGAGCTTTAGGGCTCTGGCTTTAGAGAAGCTTTAGAGAAGCTTTAGAGAAGCTCTAGAAGCTTTAGAGAAGCTCTAGAAGCTTTAGAGAAGCTTCTAGAGCTTTAGAGAAGCTTTTACTTCAAGTCAAGTTAGCGCTTGCCTACTTTACGACTTCAAACTGGGCAAAACAGTAGCGGAATCCTATTGAGATTTGGTCAAAGCATTTGGGAATGATGTATTGTTCGAAAGCCGATGCCGAGCCTGGTTCCAACGCTTTCGGAAACGGTGATGAAAGTCTCGAGGATGATGAGCAACGATACTGTGAGACAAACGGACGACCTCAAGCGGTAGACAACGATATTTTGAGTCGGAATCGGATCCATGCAATCGAATCGGATCCATGCAATGGAATCGGATCCATGTCAAACGACGCGTGAACTTGCTCAACAGTTTCTGTGTTTAAATTCTACCATTGATGAGCATCTCCATTGAAAAGGCTCCACGCCATTTGGAAAGGCTCCACGCCATTGAAAAGGCTCCACGCCATTGAAAAGGCTCCACGCCATTGGAAAGGCTCCACGCCATTGGAAAGGCTCCACGCCATTGGAAAGGCTCCACGCCATTGGAAAGGCTCCACGCCATTGGAAAGGCTCCACGCCATTGGAAAGGCTCCACGCCATTGGAAAGGCTCCAACGGCTTAAGCAGTGGAAACGGCTTAAGCAGTGTAAACGGCTTAAGCCAGTGTAAACGGCTTAAGCCAGTGTAAACGGCTTAAGCCAGTGTAAACGGCTTAAGCCAGTGTAAACGGCTTAAGCCAGTGTAAACGGCTTAAGCCAGTGTAAACGGCTTAAGCCAGTGTAAACGGCTTAAGCCAGTGCAAACGCTCGTTTATATCCGAACAACCTAATAATATGAAGATGGAGAAGAAGAGAAGATTAAGCTTAAAGCAAAGCTTAAAGTGATATCATGTTATATCACTTCAAATACTATCAAACTTAAAGATTTTCTCTTCTCTAATAGCCAGCTATTTGTAGAAAGCACCGTAGACGGACTGGTCAAAAAAAATAACAGAAATTCAGCTTTTAAATCAAAAAAGAATCGACATCGCTTTTCTAGAATCTCAGCGTCGATTGAAAGAGTTGGTATTGAGAAATCGTTTGAAAAGTCAAAAAATGAAGTAAGCTGTGAGCCTTTGATCGAGAGTTAGCTGTAAGCCTGAGCCTGGCTCAACCCTGGCTAGCCTTTAATCCAAATCTAATCCAGAGCCAAACCAGAAATAAGTGTCAAGCCACCAGAGCCATTCCTGTGCCGATCAAAGGCTTTCAGTAATTCAGAAATCACCTCTAGTTCACAATTCTTGATCACAACTCTCTAGAAACCGGTCCGGGGTGCGAATAGGCCTCTTCTTCCACTTCTTTTCCCTTGATCCAATTTTCATTTCATTCTCGAGATTGTCCAAAACCCTAAAAAGTACGGTAGCGGTGCCGTGGAGTTACTGTGGCTTTTTTTGAACGCAAATTTCTATATTCAAATTTTCCAGGAAGCGCCACCGGTGGAAACCCAGCGATTGCCGATGGCAGAACAGCCTGGGAAAGGGGTAAAGATCGAAAAATGTATCTAGATATAAGATTAGATCTAGAATCTTATATCTAACATTATAAATGTTTGGATAAAAATTTCAGCTTGAATCCCATCCACTCAAGCCGCAATTCGATCTGAAATCATATGAAGGCACAGACGCAAAACCGGAGACGAAAGATCGAGTGGTGAGTTGGATATGGCTTGGCTTAGGGTTGCCTGGCTTAGGGTTGGGCTGGCTTGGACTTAGTGCGTAGGCTTAGGCTTAGGCTTAGGCTTAGGTTTAGGCTTAGGCTTAGGCTTAGGTTTAAGCTTGGACTTAGTGCGAAGGCTAGCGGCTAGCGCCTCGCACTAAGTCTATTTGGGTTTGGGCTAACTCCTCATTTTCTGGTTAGGCTTAGGCTTAGGGTTGGGCTGGCTTAGAGTTGATCCGGTTTAGGTTTAGGCTTAGGCTTAGGCTCAGGGTTTGCCTGGCTCAGGCTTGGCTGGCTTAGGGTTGAGCCGATTCAGGTTTAGGCTTAGGCTTAGGGTTGGGCTGGCTTAGGGTTGGGCTGGCTTAGGGTTGGCCTGCTTAGGGTTGGCCCGGTTAAGGGTTGACCCGGCTCAGAGTTGGCCCGGCTCAGGTTTAGGCTTAGGCTCAGGGTTGGCCTGCTTAGGGTTGGCCCGGCTCAGGGTTGACCTGGCTCAGGTTTAGGCTTAGCCTCAGGGTTGGTCCGGCTCAGGGTTTGTCTGGCTTAGGGTTGGGCTGGCTCAGACTAAAGCCGATCTAAGATCCAATCCAATCTAAGATCCAATCCAACCTAAAATCCAATCCAATCTAATATTTCAGCTGCACATGATCGCCTTGAACGTGCCGTTATCGGGTCGAATGTCTGGTTTGCGTGGAGCCGATCTCCAGTGCTATAAAGAGTCGCGACAGGCCGGCTTTGTCACCACATTCCGAGCGATGTTGTCAAGTAAAGTGCAGGCAAGTTTTTGAAAACACTTTAGTAAAGATCTGGAAGTAAGTAAAGATCTTGTAAAGATTGCTGAGAAGTAAAGTATACGTTAGAAACAGAGCTACAATATTGTAGTTAGCACATACTGTACTACTACTCTTTGAGTTCTTTTTAGCTCGAGATACTGTACTTAGATATTCGAGGTACTGTACTTAGACAAGGCTTGGATACAGTAGCTTATCAAGCTTATAGCTTATAAAATCGATAATCAAACCTTCAAACTTCTAGGACATGTCCCGCATTGTTCACGCGATCGATCGAGGCACTCGGGTGGTGAATTTGAAAGGAGAAGAGCTATTCCCATCATGGGATGAATTGTTGTTGGGACGACCACCAAATGAACAAGTTCCACTCTACACATTCCACCGAGAAGACGTTTTCACGTCACCGAATTGGTTAGTTTCAATTCGATTCGGTCAATTCGAATCGGTCAATTCGATTGTTCAATTCGATTGTTCAATTCGATTGTTCAGATACCTCCAGATACTTCCAGATAACTATAAAATTAACTCTAGGAACGATCGTCGCATTTGGCACGGTTCGATCGAGGGTGGAATGCGTGCGGATGACTCGATTTGTGATGGATGGAGGACGGGCAGTGCATGGGAAACAGCACTCGCTTCACAGGTTTATATCAAATTAACAAATATCAAACGGGAATCGAATTAAAGTAGAGAAAATGGGTGATTTTTTGAGTTAAAGCAAAGATTTTTTGCATTAACCAGCGCTTAGAACAAAATGATTGAAAAATGAAGAAAAATCGGCTTTTTTGCCAACTTTGTTTTTGCCGCTAATCAAGCCGCTCATTCGTCGTTTTGATTGTCAATAGGTGTACGAAGGAAAACAGCTACCTTTTTGCACTTGAATACCTACTTTTTCAGACATTCTTGCTACACAAAGATAGAACTTTTCAAGCTCTATTTTTTTTGTTCTTTTTCTAGCTGTTGAAGCTGTTTGTTAGTAGCTCAAAAAGCTATTAAAGTGAACAAAAAACTTTTTACACCTATCGACAATCAGATTGAAAACAAACATACCGTAAATACTGTAATAGTACCGCACCCCCATAATGACGGTGCGGAGTGTTGCGTTGTCTAGCTTTGAACGCGTTTTTCTCGACACTGGTTTAAGCTACAATGCGCGCTTTGGTATCAAAAAATAGCTGAAATTCAGGGCTATTGTTTGATACCAAAGCGCGCATTGTAGCATAAACTAGTGTCGAGAAAAACTCATTCAAAGTTAGACTACGCAGCGCTCCGCACAACAGCTTTGAAAAAAATGAAATACTAAAAGAGTTTTGCGACTACGCGACTGTACAGTGGGTGGGGTACAGTTCAACTAGTTCTAGAAGCCTAGATCGATGCCAGAACCGAAATCTAGGCTCGAGTTCTGGTCAAGGTCAAGTTTTTCAAGTTAGAGTACTCTAGTTCTGGGTTTAGGCTTGGATTAGGTACAGGTTCAAGTACAGACAGTACAGACGGTTCAAGTACAGACCTAGACTAAGTACTGTGTTTATTCTAATAGAAGCGCAACCTCTAATAAAAGCGCACGTTGACACGTCCTTTCGGAAGGTGAGTCCTCCCCATATATTTTTTAAATATTGGCACCCAAGTCCCAAGGCATCAAATACAAACAGTTCTCCGGGATCTTCTAAAGAACCCACCGTAAATACTGTAATAGTACCGCACCCCCATAATGACGGTGCGGAGTGTTGCGTTGTCTAGCTTTGAACGAGTTTTTCTCGACACTGGTTTATGCTACAATGCGCGCTTTGGTATCAAAAAATAGCCCTGAATTTCAGCTATTTTTTGATACCTAAGCCAGCATTCTAGCAGAAACTAGTGTCGAGAAAAACGCGTTCAAAGTTAGACTACGCAGCGCTCCGCACTTTGAACGCGTTTTTCTCGACACTGGTTTATGCTACAATGCGCGCTTTGGTATCAAAAAATAGCCCTGAAATTCAGGGCTATTTTTTGATACCAAAGCGCGCATTGTAGCTTAAACCAGTGTCGAGAAAAGCCCTCGTTTAAATAGCCCTGAATTTCAGCTATTTTTTGATACCAAAGACGCATTTTTTGAAAGTACGGGCGCTTTGAAAAAATGAAATATTAAAAAACTTTTGCGACTACGCGACTGTACGAGGTGGGGTACTATTACAGTATTTACGGTAATAGCTAGCAAAACATTAGGCATAGGGAAATGCCAAGCCAAACCTAATTCCACCTTTGTTTTCTCGTTTTCTCGCTCGTCGCTTAGCCGATTTGCTCTAAAATTTTGTCTACAAACTGAAAATCTCGATTTCTAACTGTAGACAAGATTTGAGAGGAATCGGCCAAGAAATAGCCGAGAAAACGAAGCTGGAATTAGGCTCGGTTCGGAATTTATAGTAAGTCATATCTAGTAAACTAGGTTTAAACTATTACTAATTTCATGATTTCATGATTTCATGATTTCATGTTTTCATGCTTTCATGATTTCATGATTTCATGATTTCATGCTTCCATTTCCAGCTTGTTCCGGGACGACCACTAGTCGGTGACGCCGAAAAAGTCGGATGTGATGCGCGACTGGTTGTCCTCTGCGTTGAGGTGGGTTTTTCGATTCGACGGGGGCAAGTTTTTGTTGGCCAACTTGCATCTCATTATGGCCATCTTTATAGCCATCTTTATGGCCATCTTTATGGTCATCTTCGGCCATCTTTATGACCATCTTTATGGCCATCTTTATGCATCTTAAACTTGTCAAATCAGAAAGTTTTAATAAGATTTAGATAGCTTAGAATGTTAGCTTTCAGAAAGTAGATGCTTTATCAAAAGTTTCAAACAAAAACCTATTTAAAATCGGAGCGCAAGTTGATCAAGGAACTTACCCCGCCTCCGCCCTAAACAATAAACTAAACAAGAAACTAAACAAGAAACTAAACAAGAAACTAAAATAGAAACTAAACTAGAGACTAAACTAGAGACTAAACTCGAGACTAAACAAGAAACTAAACAAGAAACTAAACAAGAAACTAAGGAATTAGGTTCGATTTGGAATTTTCTCATCTCTATTGGATTGGTGAATTGAAAAATGCGGGCTATTGTGACAGTTTGAGCACTTTCTTCAAAAGAAACCCATTTTGGTGTCAATGGAAAAAAAAGAAAAAAAAGAATGAAAAAATAAAACAGGACGAAAGACTGAAAAATGAAAAATTCTTTCTGTCGGGGTCCTTTTATTGCGCCGGGTTACGGTAGTTTCCGACGGAAACGTCTGGAAGGCAAAGTGTACGGTGGACGGTCCGAAAGGCATCTGTCGTCAGAATTTTATTATTTCAAGAGAGAATTCCTTTAAATTGATTTAAAGTAAAATTAAATTGAACTCAATTTGTTTAATTACTTTTTTTAATTTATTGGGTTGGCTACAGTAGTCCAATATACAGTACCGTAAAACGACTAAAAGAGCTGTTTTCTTATAGGATTATGCCAAAAACAGTGTGCCAGATGGGTGACGTTTGCGCTTTTTTTCGACAACCTATCAGCAATGCTTAATTTCTTCAAGAAAACTGTTTTCCTATCAAATAAAAGATACTCAGTTGACTAAATTGCTTAATTTCTTTGATTGGATTAAATATAAATAATAGATTAACGTAAATATTCTAATATTGGATTGGTGAATTGAAAAATGCGGGCTATTGTCATATGTGACAGTTTGAGCACTTTCTTCAAAAGAAACCCATTTTGGTGTTCAGCCTAGCATGAGGTATTCAGTCTACATTAGCTGGATTACGGTATTTAGTCTAGATCAAGGTATTCAGCCTAGAATAAGGTATTTAGTCTACATTAGCTGGATTATGGAGAAAAAAAAAGAAAAAGAAAAAGAAAAAAAAGAATGAAAAAATAAAACAGGACGAAAGACTGAAAAATGAAAAATGAAAAATTCTTTCTGCCGGGGTCCTTTTATTGCGTCGGGTTACGGTAGTTTCCGACGTTTGGCGCGGAAACGTCTGAAAGGCAAAGTGTACGGTGGACGGTCCGAAAGGCATCTGTCGTCAGAATTTTATTATTTCAAGAGGGAATTCCTTTAAATTGATTTAAAGTAAAATTAAATTAAACCCAATTTGTTTAATTACTTTTTTAATTATTACTTTTAATTTCTAAAATATTCGAAAATAAAAGCATAAATAAACGAAATCTCTTTCAGAACATGTCAAAGTACAACGTCGATCGCATCTTGGCAAAGAAAAATGTGCACGAATTGAATTAAACGATTGTTTTTTTCAAAGATCAATTCCTTTTTGATGGTCAAATCACTTGAATGGTTATTTATTTTCATATTTTTCCGTTTCTTTCCTTTCCTTTCCTTTTTTTCCTTTTCCTGATCTAAGAAATGAGATTTCAGCTATATCTATTTTTTTTGAAAGTGAAAATCCCGAAAAAATCGACTTCAATTCACGGAATTTTTTCAGATTTAGGTTCAGATCAAAGTTTTAAATTTAATAAGTTTAGTTTAATCATTTTTATGTCTGTTTTATGTTTTTAATTTTATGTTTTATGTTTTAATTTATATCAGGATCAGCTCTAAAGTTTGGTTTTAAACAAGACCTGGGTTACGTGAAGGTCAATCAAATCTGGCTAAGTTTGGTTCCTAACTGGATCTAAACCAAATCTGAACCTAAATCTGATTTATGTCAAGACCAGGGAGATTCCCAAAAGACTCCAGCACCTAGAAGTCAGTCCTGGCATCTAGAAGCATCTAGAAGTCAGTTTTGCCATCGAGAAGCATTTAGAAGTCAGTCCTGCCATCTAGAAGCATCTAGAAGTCAGTTCTGCAATCTAGAAGCATCTAGAAGTCAGTCCTGCAATCTAGAAGCATCTAGAAGTCAGTCCTGCAATCTAGAAGCATCTAGAAGTCAGTCCTGCAATCTAGAAGCATCTAGAAGTCAGTCCTGCAATCTAGAAGCATCTAGAAGTCAGTCCTGCAATCTAGAAGCATCTTGAAGTCAGTTCTGGCATCTTTTCCAAAAGCTTAACCATTTTTTCTTTGGGTATTCAGCTTTATATGCTAATTTTATGCAAAAAAATTTTCTTTTTTTAAACCTTAATTTAATTCCTTTAATTCACTGCCATAAAACCATAATGCCATAATTAAAAACGCCCCGATTTCTGTAAATCTGTCATATGCGTATCGTTTTTTTTGTTTTCTTTTAAATGCTATAAATGTTTTGATTTTAAAATGCTATAAATTTATTGATTTTAAAATCTTTTAAATAACATTTATTAAGCTTTTTTTGGGTTACATTTTGCAAAAATTGCAAAAAGCAAAAATTTGCTTACATTTGAATCTTGCAAATATAATTATTGGATGGAGCGAATGAGTCACAAGCGAAAGTGTAGCCGAACACGGGCGCGCCCGAGAGGGAAGCGATTGTCGGGTTTAACTGGAAATCGTTCTTGGTGTCATTCGATGCGTCAAGTCTTTCTCTATCGATTGGTATAAAAATGATTGAGATTGGACAATCCAACACTGAGATATTTGATCTCAAAGTTGGATTGCTAATGCCAGGGGGGCGCCGCGACAATTATGGCGCATTCTGTAGTTTGATAGAAAGGTTTTAAGCTTTTAAATGATATAGAATTTCGAATGATTGATGATGATAAGAAATTTCAAATGATTCAAATCAAAGAAACACCTAAATGCACTACTTTGTTCAGCAGAGTTCTGAGTACAATTCTGTGCCAAATCCAAATACTTTTGATGATCTTTTGATCCCCCAGCAATGAAAGCAAGCTGTTTTGAGCTATGATAATCAAGAGATTTGTTTTACTAGAGTAATCTTCTAGAGTAATCTAAAGTTAAAGTTTCAGATTTCAGTTCAGAGCTTCAGATAAATCTTATAGTAGACAAATCACCGTGCAAATGGCTCCCGTCTCGCACTGGGCCTCGGGTATCGTCAAATTGCTCATCGGGCTTGTGGAGGTCTAGAAAAGGCTTTAGATCACATAGAAGATACTATTTTGTATTCAAAAAATATTCAAACCAACCACCGTTCCATTCGTTTGCTCAACAACGGCCACTGGTTGGAGATCGCGCTTTTTGCGTTGTCCACTATTTTCCTAAATTTTTTTCGATAACGGTATTGGATTTGGAAAGAAAAAGGATCACTTTACCAAGAATGGATCAAAAGTAAACGGACTGCCATCACTCCATTCCCATGCCCCATTTTGACATGAGAGCCCCGTCCAAAAGCGATCGTTCGTTGAGCCCTTTGTGTTCAAAACCATTCCTGAAACGGCTCTATTAGGCTATAGTTTTAAATATCTATGACTTAGTACAAGATTGATAGCTTTAATCTAAACTTGTAGTGAACTTGGGATTAGAACTGTGCTTGGCTAGCTTGGCCTGACTTGGATTAGATCCTAGGCCTGAGTTGGCTTGAACTAGATTCTAGGTTTGACCTGGCTTGAACTAGACCTTAGGCCTGGCCTGGCTTGACCTTGGCCCTAGGACTGGCTTGGCTTGAACTAGACCCTAGGCCTAGCTTGACCTGGCTTGGACTAGATCCTAGGCCTGGCTTGGCTTGGACTAGACCCTAGGCCTGGCTTGGCTTGAACTAGACCCTAGGCTTGACCTGGCTTGGACTAGACCCTAGGCCTAGCCTGGCTTGGACTAGACCCTAGGCCTAGCCTGGCCTGGCCTGGCTTGGACTAGACCCTAGGCCTAGCCTGGCCTGGCCTGGCTTGGACTAGACCCTAGGCCTAGCCTGGCCTGGCCTGGCTTGGACTAGACCCTAGGCCTAGCCTGGCCTGGCTTGGACTAGACCCTAGGCCTGGTCTGGCCTGGCTTGAACTAGATCCTAGGCCTGGCCTGGCTTTGCCTGGCAAGTACTATTGAACACTCAGACCCTGTGAGGGTTCAAAGTGGATAAAATTGGAGAAAAATAAAGACAAAATTACGGTAGAAAGAAAGTGGGGCGCGGCTTAGACTCCACTGAATCCAATAGTATCCAATCCTTTTTAAGGCAACTTTTAGAAAAACACTGACCAAGTAGCGATAGAATTTCCTGTGTGCTCGTCAGCGACACCAACATTCCATTCATTTCCTCGCAGAGACTTTCGGCTTCCGGTTGACTCACCGCTGTTTCAGCGTTGACGACCTGGGAAATGTTGGCAAATAATGAAATGATATCTAGATTTTGAATATAGAAAAACATGAAAAACCTTAGATTCTCAACGGCAAAAAGCATCAACAGATTTCTTCGTTACAAATCTACTTTATATTGTACTGTTCATAAAGAATTAACCTTATAACAAGCATTTGAGAACGACAAATATGACCATCCCTGCGGGCAAGATTCTGAAAAGGTTTTTGAAAGGTTTTGAAGGGTTTTGAAGGGTTTTCGAATTTCAAAAAACTTTTATGATTTTAAATATTTATAGCTGTTATTTAAATATTTATAGCTGGCTTAAATATAATCTCCTTTTTGTTCATATAATATGCTCATTATATGCTCGTAAAAGCCCTAAAATAGAATATGTAAATGTAAAAAGCATACGAATTTTCGGCATCATGCAAATGCCGCTCATCGACATTGCACAATCGGCGAAATACCAGCGTCCATTCGTGTGCAACAAAATGCAGACTTCGATTTGATCTTGAGACGTGTGCAAGTCGGAATCGAGTACTGAAATGGAAAATGAGGAATTGTGCTGGAATTGTGGCCGAATTGTGGCCATATTGTGGCCATATTGTGCCCGCATTGTGCCCGAATTGTGCCCGAATTGTGCCCCGAATTGTGGCCATTTTGTAGCCATATTGTGCCCCGAATTGTGCCCGAATTGTGCCCCGAATTGTGGCCATATTGTGGCCCGAATTGTGCCCAAATTGTGGCCCGAATTGTGCCCCGAATTGTGCCCGAATTATGGCCATATTGTGCCCAAATTGTGGCCATATTGTGGCCATATTGTGCCCCGAATTGTGCCCGAATTGTGGCCATATTGTGCCCCGAATTGTGCCCGAATTGTGGCCATATTGTGCCCGAATTGTGCCCCGAATTGTGCCCCGAATTGTGCCCCGAGTTGTGCCCGAATTGTGGCCATATTGTGGCCATATTGTGCCCCGAATTGTGCCCCGAATTGTGCCCCGAATTGTGCCCCGAATTGTGCCCCGAGTTGTGCCCGAATTGTGGCCATATTGTGGCCATATTGTGCCCCGAATTGTGCCCGAATTGTGGTCATATTGTGCCCCGAATTGTGCCCCGAGTTGTGCCCGAATTGTGCCCCGAATTTTGCCCATATTGTGGCCATATTGTGCCCATATTGTGGCCATATTGTGCCCGAATTGTGCCCAATTTGCAAACGAACCAGTTGTGAATTTCGTCTCGCAATCCTCGCCAAAGCTTCGATTCAAATACGATGGATTTATGTAGTTGTGCTAAAGAAATTTTCAAATGCAAAGAGCTTTTCAAATTCAATGAATTTTTGCATTTTCTATGATCAAAGTCTTTTCATTCAAATGAATGAAGAGAATTTGATCTCTTCTTCATTCAAATTCTAAGATCAAACTCACAAAACTTTGCACAAAAGCCTGCACAAGATGCGCGTCGCGGATTGGCTGCTTCGAGATCGTGGACACCGTTTCAATGCCACACTCCATTCGATTGATGTAATTACTGTAAATTAAGTTATACAAGATCAAAGAAAAGCAAAGCAAAGAAGCAGTTAGCATTACTTTTATCATATTTATTCTAATAGAGATTTCTTAAGCCTGCAAAGCCTGCAAAGCCTACAAAGCCTACAAGGCCTACAAATTGGCCTATCCAATCTATAAATACTTGAACTCACTCGCAAGGATCACTGCTTCCTCTTGAGTCGATGCATTGCTGTAAATGCTTTGTGAAGCCGCCCGCATTTTGAGCACAAAATGGATAGATGCCAAAAACTAAAATGCACAAAGTGCAGATGATAAAGCGGACACGATTTCAATGGGCTAGAATCACAAAAAAACCGTTGATTCTTGGTGGCTTTTCATTGCCGAACCTTGATGCTTTGTCCCTGCTTCTCCACCGTTGACAAATTCGAGTATTCCATCGGCTCCCTGCACCGCGCCAACCCACGCATACCCGGTTTTCGTGTCTAAACTCGACTTAGCTCTTTTTAGCTCTTTTTAGCTAAACCGTTTCCTAAACCGTGTCCCTTTTTCTTTCCACCGTAATCTAGGAACAGCGCCAAAAATCCAGCGCCGTAAAAAATGACAGGAAAACG